AAATGTTCCATGATAAACTTCATTGCACCTCAAAATTAAAGCAGTCTATAGACAATGTCAAGCACAATCTCAATTTAATTAAGTTTAAACACTAACCTGTAATAGTTTAAACATACATAATTAAAAATGCAAGAACTAAGAAATCAGCTTATTCAAACATGCATGCACAATGCAAGCAGTAAGAAATCAACTCATTCAAGAATAACCCGTGATAACTTGAGAACTACTTACATTCAGCACTGATGCATCCATATCTCAGCCTAAAAAATATACGTCATTCACAATTCAAAAATATACGTCATTCACAAGTCATGCACACAACATTTGTATGCTCTCTCTCTCTCTTACTAAGATTATAATGGCACACAATATTTGTATGTTATCTGTTAAGACATTTGTGACGCATGTCAAGCAACATTCACAATTCATGCATCCATAAAGAAAACCATGTACAAAACCAGCCCATTCAACAATAACCTGTAATAGTTTAAACATACATAATTCAAAATACAATATAATGAAGATAACATTCGATGAGGACTCAATATTTGTGGCCACAAAATAAGGTCCATATAAAATGTAGAACAAGGTTTAATTACAAGTGCTGGCGATTTAGGTAGGCCTCCCACAACTGTGTCGCCATGGCATCTCACACATCATGATCAACGTGCCCCTGAGTCAATTGTGAAAACCCATCATCTCCGTCAATTACGAGTTGACTCTCAATCCTTCTTCAAAAACACAGCTCTCTTCTGCTATCGATTCCCTGTGTCATCATGATGTAGTTGTGCAATATTGTACATGCAATAACTACATCAACCTATGTTCGTAAATGTTACTGCATTTGATTCTTGAGTACAGGAAATTTGGCCCTCCGTAGTCAAAACGTCCTCTCCACCACATTTCTAAGCGTGAAATGCCACTTGTTGAATAATTCCTTGTGATTATGAGGAGTTCATGGGCCTGAAGTAAATTCGTTTAGATGGTAACGGACTCTTCGATATGGTCCTATGAAACCATGCATAGTAGGATACCCACCATCTACAAGGTAATATTTTTCTGTACCATGTTTGTGCAATAAGTATATTGTAAGGCCAAATATTATACTAGAAATGTTATACAAACCGAAGCAACGAAACATAGGAAGGAATGAAGTTACCCTCAGGCACTGCAAGCCTACTGCCTTCATTACTAATTGCATCATATATGACTTTAGAATCTGATGCGGATCCGTCCCAACCTGCAAGTACATAATGGAAGCGCATATCGAAACCAACCGCAGTCATAACATTCTGGCTAAGAAAACCTTTTATGTTTCGGAAACAATTATGCAATCGACTACGAACTTGAGCAGGGACATGAGTCCCGTCAATAGCTCCGACACAATCCTATTACGAGAAAAAAATCATACTATTATATATTAGATCTCAGTGGATGTGTGTAGATTACTTGACACTCGCATATCTTGAAATATGGGTAAAATCGTAGTGTATCACCAGCAATGTGAGTCGGTGTTTCATTGCTTGCTGGTTGCAGGAACAAGGGTTCCAATTATAAGATGGCTTGTAAAACTCTATGAAAATAGTAACTTATGGTTTGCCCTTAATATTGGAAATGTTCCTGGACCACCCTATTCCGCTGATCATGTGTGACGATGCTTAAAAATATGGCTACTTGCTCATCAACGGTCAAATATCTTATATCTGTAATGTTTGTCCTCTCCTTTAACAAATTGCATAGACTGATAAAAGCACATCTTTCCATTCGTAACTGGTCGAAGCACTTACGAAGGTGCCGTGACAGCAAGTATTGGACATAGTTGCACCCAGAAAAAATTGAAATATGAACACGCCTTCTCCTCTTTTGCGTAGTGATATACCAATATGCAAAACACATTGTATATACAACAAATAATATTACCATCAACTAATGCTTTTGGGGATCCATAACTAGAAATGGAAGAAGGCATCCACAACCATAAAGCAATCTTTAATCAAACCATTATATGAACGAAGTCACCCACATCCATAAAGCAATATTTGGCATTAAAACGAAAGAAGCCATCCACATACATATTTATAAGATGAAAACTATAAAGCAATCTTTAATCAAACCATTAAATGAAAGCAATCTTTGACATTAAAATGACAGAAGCCATCCATATACATATTTATAAGATGCAAACCATTAAAGCAATCTTTAATCAAACCATTAAATGAAAGAAGCCATCTACATCCATAAAAAAAAACATGAAGCAACATTTGACATTAAATTGAAAGAAATCATCTACATACAAATGAAATAACTCATCTAATACATATTTATAAAATGCAAATCATAAAGTAATATTTATTAAACCATAATATGAAAGAAGCCATCCACATCCATAATGAAAACCAAGAAGCAATCTTTGATATTAAAATGAAAGAAACCATCCACATATGAATGAAAGAATTCATCCACATACATATTTATAGTATGGAAACCATAAAGTAAACATAGTCAATCAAGTATTTAAAGGTGTTTTATCTCTTCATCCTAGTAAGCCCTTTGCATCTTTCGATCCTCCAAGTTTATTAACATCTCTGCCTTTGTAGAATCTTGGAAGATCCTTGCCGTTATTATAAGGACATTATCACTAACTTCACTTACTCTCCATATGCTTTCAACAATCTTTAAGGCCTCTCTCCTAGCCTTGGGACCATGCATCACAGGAGTACTGCTGTTACTTGCGGTGTCACGTACTAGCATCTCAATGCTATTGGCCATATTTGTCATGGCTTTAGTCATGGAGTCATTAAAGGTGGGTTCCTTTGATCGACGATGTGTTTTATCGGAGTTTGGGACTGTCGTCTTTTTTCTCTAGATGATACTAGGTCATCAGATGAGGATGAACTAGATTCAACCTGGACATCTAAGGGGTGGTCATTAGATAATGCAGTGTTGGGCCTTTCTGGCTCAATTCTAATGCCACCCCCAGTCGATTTGTAAGTCTCATCTACCATGTTACCCTCAAAGATCTTACTTAGCAGCGAATATTCAGGCAAAGTATGATATTTATTGCCCAATCATTCTCCTACATATGAAAGACCATTATTTTTAGCGATATTCGTATTTAAATATATTTAACATTTTAAAAGCCTATGCAAATGAGTAATTACATATCGCTTAGAAGTCATTCCAAACAACACTCTCGGCGGTTACTATCCTCCTATTTTCATCCCATCCGAACCTCGATACCGCCATAAGTTTTTTTATGTAATTGTACATGTTTCTGAAGAACTTATGATTACTCCTTAATCTACTTTCCGTGTTTACTGACCCATATTTAATTATCATTGCTTCCACCATCTGTTTTCAAGCATCTTTTTTAAACCTCTTCCCCCCCCCCCCCTCCCCCGCGTTCCCTACAGCCCTGCTCTCCTTCTCCATAAGTTCAATGAAATAATCATCTTCTGCTTGTGTCCAATGCAAGTTCTTCTTGGATCCTATATTCTCATTCATTATGCTTGATGACGTGTGTGGGTCCATCCTATTATAGGGAAAGAATGGATATATTATATTCTATATAATCATTCAACCCCACCATTGTAGCTACAACATTCATAATTGGAGCTAAGTAAAACTTACCAAATCCCAAAACAAAAATCACAAAAAAGTAAGCAAGATAAATCTCAATTCCAATTTGCTTTTAGCATTTTATTCACAAATAGGAAGCAAGGTTAGCACCCAGAGAAAGTAGTCAAAAACCCAAATACAAAAAATTATATTCGGTAATTCATACACATCTTGTTTGCATAAAAAGATATAAACAAATCCATATCATAGTTGTATATCTTAGAAAATTATATCAAATATCATGAACCCATAAGCATTATTCATTAAAAAAAGAAAGGTAACAAAAAGAGCATGGTAGCTACAACATTCATAATTGGAGCTAAGTAAAATTCAACAAACTCAAACATAAAAAAATAACAAAAATAGATCTTGCCGTAATAGGAAGGATCAGAGGTTAAAGAAGAGATAGTGAGAGAAAGATGATGAAAATCAGAGTCAATAGCATACTTCAAGATAAATAACACAGAGAGAATAATAGAGCTTTGCTTCAAGAGCTCAAAAACAAACACAGAGATCAATAATACAGAGAATAAGAGCTCTTTGCTTCAAGAGCTCGTTGCTTCAAGAGCTCAAGAAAAAACACAGAGATCAATATATTTAAACAGAGCTCAATAAAAAATGTATGTTTCATCTAAAAATAACTGTAAACAGATATCAGAGCTCAGAGTAAAAATAGCAAGAACAAACACAGAGACCAATAGATTTAAACGGAGCTCATAAAAAAAAGCATATTCTACCTAAAAATAACTATAAACAAAAATAAGAACTTATAGTAAAAAAAGCAAGAACAAACACAGAGAGAGATGCAAAAAAAGAATTTGTCAACTAAACCATATCAAATCACAGATGCACAGGTGATTAAATAACAAAACAATCAAGCTCAACCTCAACAAAAAATCAGTCATTCATCAACATCTAATAACAACTAATAAACAATAATTATTTTATGAGAAAGTACACTATAATCAAATTCACTATAGAAAACATATTCTATTCAATGTGAATAACAAATGTGAACAAAATAAAAGAACTAATGCATGCTGAGGTTGCAATGACCATGTTTCAACATGCTAATTTTTATTCATTTTTCTCTTGAAAGAATTTTCATTCATTTTTTACAATCAATTAGAAAGCAAATATATGCAACACTTTTCCCTAATTGGAAACAATTATTCATGGAGATCCTATTATTCTCTATCACCATAGCAAAACAAACCACAGTTCAGAGAATGAATCGAAAAACTCAAACCAAGAAAATAAAAATCAGTTTTGCATACCCATAGAATTACACAAATGAATAACAAAGAGAAGACAATTTAAAAACACAAAACCATTTGGAAATCAATTTAGCAAGATGATAGGAATCATAATAACAAGGAAACCTACAGCTTCCACCACATAAAACTAACACCAAATCCCTGGTATCTCCACAAACGAACAAAATGATAAGAAAAAATCATAACAATAACTCAAATGGTAAGAAAAATCATAACACCAGTCCAGTGAAATTTAGGGCTTTTGACAAAATTCACAATTTACAATTGGGACTGCTACAAAAAGCATGACCAAGTTTGAGTGAGAGAGCTCGAACTTGTTTCAGAGATGGCGGACGAAGGGCTATCTGCGAACCGCAAGCTCTGAGAGATGGCAGAGATAGAGCTCGAACCTCTGTGAAGAGATGCTGATGGAGGACTTGCTTCTCTGGTCTGCCAATGGAGCAAGGGTTATCGGGCGGGGGTTCACAAAACAAAGTTCCAAGTTTGAGTTCCAACCCTTGGGTTGGATCTTTTGTTTTAAAGCAATATTGGAACATGAAACAATTCCTTGAAGTTTTCTTTGAAGTTCAATTTTTTTATCAAACACAAAAATTGGAAGTTCTCAACTTCTAGAAAGACACATCTGGTTATCAAATACGCCCTATAGGAATGATTGAGATCTAGTAAATAACGTATCCTTGGGCGATATAATAAAAGAAGTAAATAACGTGAGGCATCGTTTTGACAAATTTTCTTTACTTCTTTGTAGAATCTTCCATCATAAAAGGTCACTTGACGAGAAACATGTATTTTTCCGCTGGTATGAGAGTAACATCGATATCTTTTATACTCATCATTGTACCCAACAAACACATATTCTTATGCGTTTACTGAGAGTTTTCGCCTTAAGGTTTTATCAATATGTACATAACACATGCAGCCAAAAGCACGCAAAATTTAGTAATAAGGAACTTTTCTATAAGCATTTGATACGGGGGCATGTTGTTTGGATTGGCAAAGGTTGGTAACCAATTAATAACAAACATTATTGTACCTCACTCCAAAAATACATTAGTACCCTACTATGAATTAATGACAACCACAATTCATTGACGTGTCGTTGTTTTCGCTCTACCACACCATTCTGAGCAGGTGCATGTGGACAAGAGAACTGTTGTTTGATATCATGAATTTGACAGAAGGATCTAAAAGCATGAGAAGTAAATTCACCATCATTATCACTACGAAGGAATTTAATTTGCAATTAATAATAGTTTTTGATGAATTCTTTGAAGGACTTAAAAACTTGAAGCGCTTGAGATTTGGATTTTAGAAAACATATCTATGTAAAGCGAGTGAAATCATCAACAAAACTAATACAATAACGAGAGCTAGAGAGAGAGGTAAAATTAGCTGGTCCCCATAAATCAATATAAATAAGTTCAAGAAAGTGAAAAGTATATTTATTTGCACTAAAAAAAAAGTAATTGGTGATGTTTTCCAAGTTGACAGCATTTGCAAACAATGTTGCTTGGTACTTTATTACATAAAGATGACAAGACCTTGAGTTTAGTCAAGTGGCCCACTATAGCGTAGTTGGTGTAAGCTAACTGATGATACCATAATTCTGTAGAGACTCTAGGACTATATGTAAAGGCTAGAACAACAACAAACAAAGCATTAACTTTATCACTTTTTAAGAAAATAGAGATTTCCCAACATTTTCCTTTAGCGAGGAGCTTGCCGAATCGAAGATCCTTCACCAAAAGAGCAGTAAGTGTAAATAGAAAAGAGCAATTAAATTGGTCAATAAATTGAGATACAGATGACACTTTTCTGAAATTTAGGAGCAAGAAAAATATTAGGCACTTTTAGGGAACCCATGGATGAAGCAACACATGAAGTACAAATATATGAGATAGGAACTGAGGAACTATCACCCATAATGATACGACATGAACCATTGTGGATAATAAAATCAACAAGCATACCTGAATCATCAGCTACATGGTTTATAACTCCAGTGTCTACAATCCAACTTGTATCTGAGGCTGTGGTGAGAGACAAAGAACCAAATGAATAAGTTAAAGTATTAGGATTGTCTTGAGAGTTATGTCGAGAGTAGCCATAATAGCACTGATGAGTGAGATGGTTTGTACGACCATAGATGTGACTGGATTTAGGAGTCGTCTTATTCATAGGATGTGTTAGTGGTGTTGGTGAAAGTCATCTTCCTCAACTTACATAGCGTGGTGGACCACCTCGAGCACCACTAAGATTGCCACTACTGAGATGGGGCAACGTATCAGGTTGGCCATTAGTGGGATTGCCACAATCTTGTCCTCTTCTTCTTCCATGACCTCTCATTTTCCTCCTCCTTTGGGCATTTGAGGGGATGCATAGAGAACCTCATGTGTGGGTCCAAATACAGTGGTTAAGTCACTGTTTCTCATAGGTTAAAGATTGAATACCAACTCATGTTCAAGTAGGAGAGGACAGAAAGATGTATATAACGGGAGGTGGCCGAGCCATAATTGACGTAACAAATATTTTGTATTCCTCACTAAGCCCACGTAGAAAATAGTAAACTGGTCAAAGAGAGATTTTATCTTATTTAAATACTCTTGAATAGATTGTGTCCCACGTGTGCAATTTTGAAGCTTAGTGCGAAGGAACATCAATCGCACATTCGATTGTTGTGCATAGGAATCGTGAAGGGTAGATCAAAGATCTTTTGCGGTGGCAATGTCAATAAGTGTGCCAAAATATCAGGGGATAACGTAGAGTTTATCCATGCTATGATGAGTTGATCACGAGCATACCATTGTTCATATTATGGATTAGGAGCAACTTTATCAGATAGGTGAAACTTAGAAGGCTCCAGTGTAGAACCATTAAGATGCCCCATAATTCTTTGGCCTCTAGCACTAGGAATGATTGACATTTCCATAGTAGAAAATTGTTATTGGAGAGCTTGATTGTCACAAGGTGAGGACGAAGGTTTGGAAATTATGTAGATGAAGACATGATAATAGTCATAGAGTGAGAAAACAAATTGATTTCTTTGTAGGGAGAAGAGAAGCAGATGGCTTGTTAAGATCAAAGTTAGTTAACAAAAAAAGATATTTTTGATGAGAGAAAAAAAAAAAAAGACCGGAAGAACGATATGTTTGGAGCTTGGAGGTGAGAGAGAGAACTAGAAATTGGAAAATCTAGATTAGAGAGAGCTAATGTCAAGAGCTGATGCTAACAAAAAAAAAATTGGATGCAAAAAAACGATGAGGACGTAGAAATTGGGAAATCCAGAGAGAAAGACATCAATAAAGGAAGAGAGTAGAAATTGTTTGTTGAGGGAATTTTCCGATGCAAAATCGTTGAGAGATGAGCGCAATGTTTTTTTTTGGAAGTTAAATTAGAAACTTTAATGTGGCTTTTTTAAAACCCACTGATGCAAAAAACTTGAATGCGTAATGGAGTCGGTGGTTTTTTTTTGTTTTTGTCTGCAACCACATGGACAAAACAATTGGATGCAAAGAACTAAATTTTCTTTTTGATGCAGACAAAACAATTGAATACAAAAAAATATATATAGACGAAGATAAGATTTTTTTAGACGAGAAGTTTTAAAAACTTTCATCTTTATGTGGTTAAAAACTTTTCAAAAATTAATTGTAAAAGAAGTAAAGAAAGATATTACTTTTCTACGAAGAATGGTGATGATAAAGGAGCAAGATGAGATAGGAATTTTTAAAGAAACTTCCCTGATGGTTCTATAGGTTACAAAGAGACACAAAATTTAGGGTTGTACGAGACTTCCCTGACGAGAGAAAGTATTCAGTTTCTTTGACGAGATAAAGTTTAGGTTTGGACGAGATATGATTATTTTTTTTGCTTTTTAGAGAGAGAAAGAATTTAAAGATTGGATGAGAGGAATTTTTAGAATGAGAGAGAGGTTGAAATTTTTAGATCGAGAGAGAACTGAAATTTTAGAGAGAGAAGAAAGAGATTGAATTTTTTTGAGGAATTTCTAGAGAGAGAAACTGTAATTTACTTCAACAGAAGATAGAGACTTGCGAAAGGGTTGAGGAACGGCTCTAATCTTGTGTATAGATTAAAGAAGACAATATATGGAATCAATCAAACCCTACAAACCTGCTTTGAAAGCTTTTGCAAAACCTTTCTTGCAGGGGGTTATTCTCGAAATGTTGTAAACAACTCTCTATTTTTCAAAAAGAAATAGCAAAAGCTGGTGATTGTGCTTCTGTATGTTGATGATATCATTGTAATAGAGAATGATGATAATGAAATAAAGTAGCTAAAGATAATGTTCGAAGCACAATTTGCTAAGAAAGATCTTGGAGACTCAGAGTATTTCCTAGGTGTGGAAATTGAGCGCACGAGACAAGGTATGAACTTGAAACAACACAAGTATGCATTAGATTTGTTAGAAAAAATTGGAATGAGTAATTGTAAACCATCACCAACGCCAATAATCATAACAAATAAATTATCTGCTAGAGATGATGATCATGTTCAAGATCCAAAAAAATATAGAAGTCTTGTTGTTGGTCTACAGTACCTTACATTCACTCGACCATATATCACCTATGCGGTCAATCAAGTATGTCAATTCATGCATGATCCTTATGAGGTGTACCTCATAGCTGCTAAAAGGATTCTCAGATATATAAAAGGCACCCTGGGTGATGATCTTCTCTTTCTCATTGGTGGAAGACAAGTTAAATCGCCTATTCTGATGTAGATTGAGCTGGAGATCCCGATACAAGAAGATCGGTATCTAGGTTTTGTATTTTTTTTTGCAGGATCTCTAGTGTCTTGTAGTAGTAAAAAGCAACGGACTGTTTCACACTCAAGTTCAGAAGCAAAATATCGAGCAATGTCTGCTATAGCTGCTGAAATCACTTAGTACTGTCACATTCTATCAGAATTGGGTATAACAATTCAACATGCAATTCTACGTTGTGATAACCAGAGTGCAATAAGGTTTGTCTTTAATCCAATTCTTCTTACAGGACCAAGCATATTGAACTGGATTGTCATTTTATTCAAGAAAAAATTGAAAGTACAGAAATTACACCTGATTATGTTTCAACAACATAACCACTTGCTGATATTTTTACAAAAAGTCTTCCTACTTCACGACATCGTTCAATAGAAAACAAGTTGTCAATGTTTTACATTGACAATGATTTGAGGGGGAGTAATAAGAATGACGATAACGATCTAGAAAGATATGATCATGATAAGAATTAACATGATATATTGTAATATCTTCGTATGATAATCTTTTTCATATCTGTACAGATTTGTTGTAATCACATCTTTGATTGAGTCAATCAAGGATGAGTATATAACTATTATAAATAGAACATACGTCTCTCTCTATGATATGTAAAGAATTCTACACAAATATTCTTCAGACTCGAGGTCAAGTATACCTGTTGATCCTAGGTCTAATCGGGTCCATTCCCACCCTACCCTCCCTTTCATGCCCCATGCCTATGGGAGGGTAGGGTGGGAATGGACCTGATTAGACCTAGGATCAACAGGTATACTTGACCTTGGGTCTGAAGAAATTTAGAGGGCAATATTTATGTAGAATTCTCTGCACCCCATAGAGAGGGATGTAGGTTCTATTTATAATAGTTATGTACTCATCTTTGATTGACTCAATCAAAGATGTGATTACAACAAATCTGTACAGATATGAAAAAAATTATCATATAAAGAGATTACAATATATCATGCTAATTCTTATCATGATCGTATCCGTCGTGACGAGAGCATAGCCCTCTCACATAAATGGGTGCTCATTGGGCAATCACATTGCTCCTCACATTGCCGTTACACAAATTGGTTGCTCCTGTGAGGGACGCTCCTATGCCTGTAAAAGATGGGCAAGAGTTTATATATTTTATATCATAAAGGACACATCTTAAAAACCAACAGGAGAAGGTTGTTTTAAAGACTCTTTTATTGACCATCTCAACCATGGGGGTGTATGGATGTAAACATGATGGAGTTGAAGTTTAAAAAATAATGCATCTTATACTACATTATCTAGACTTTCTATTTTTAATAATTTCAAATATTTATAGATGCTCGATCCACACTATTTTTTGAAGTTTAATTTTCATAATTAGGGATAGAAATTGATTTTCAGGCCATCAAAAATTGGTTTTCCGTCAAAATTTGAAAGTACATCTTACTTAGATTGTTTAATAAGTGGGGCTTATGTATACAGCGCCCATAAAAGCTAATTCAACATTTGTAATATCTGAGGTTTACATCCATCCATGGAGCTACCAGAGCTAGTGGAGGACAGTTTTCAAGGCATTTGAAGTAAGAAAGGAAAGGGAACATATCAACAACAATGTAGTTCCTTACAAGCAGGCTATTAGATCATAAGATTTGATAGTACACAGATGGGCTGCGGGGCAATCATACTTTAAACATAATCTATATACCCTAGAAATGGGAATACAAATGACCTTCTTCTAAATAGCCAAAATGCTTTTGAAGTTTTGATACATACTTCCTATGCTGCCTTGGACTAAACACTGCAGACAGCTGACATAGTTGTATTATATTCTCCCTGAGAAATGCATCGTCCACCGTGGCGAACCCTTTCTGCATCTAAACAATAATAAAAGTAATTTCTTAGGCTAATTAAGCAGGACATGCAGGGATGTTTGAATAAAGATAAGAAATCCTTTTTTGTTACTTTTTTTTCTTAAATTTGTCTCTGCCAATTGTTAGATTCAAATTTGGGATGTAGTGTTTCAGTAGTCCTAGACTAATTAAGCTCAAGCTAGAATCCTCACAAGGTAAGAGATTGAAGTTTGCATGTTTGATATTTGGTACTTCCACTTCCATAACCCGGAAGTTCTAGTTAATTGTGCCCTTATTCGTTTTGTAAAATGAGAAGTGCCACATGAAAACTGGCTTTAGGAAGTTTTGGGTGCTCAAGAAATGAGAACCTGTGACTTCCATGCTTTCACGGAACTCCACTTACCCTTTTTAGGAAGTTTCCAAATATTAATAATTCTAGCTTTCAGTGAGGTAGAACATCCAAGCTCCAATGAATCCCCAGCTTATAATTGGTGATGAATTCAAGGATTTAGAATTTCAAAATCATCATCATCATTGTCACAGTTTTTTCTCAACTAATTGAGATCAGCTAATTTCGAAACTATCCCAATAATTAGTTTTCATCCAATGGAAAATGATATGGTCATGATAATTCAAACCAGAGGAAACAATGGAAACAATAGAGGGGGTTTTGATGTCATGGAGCTTGTGTAATGTGTACAGTGAAAAAAGCAAAGAAAGGGAAGTTGGATGAGAAGCTAAGTGAGCGTGTATACTTCTTACCCTATTCGTGGTTCAACTAATGAAAAAGAAACCATGAACCTTTTCTCTTTAGGATGGTTTGTAAATTGGTTTCCCTTTTGTTTGGAGAGTTCAATGCAATGGGCAGTTCCAAATTTAAAGCATGTACAAGTAGCTTCTTTTAAAGGAAGCACCAAATGAAACGAGTCCATTGATGGATAAGTTCATGATTTTAGCCTGCAGAAAGATTTTGTTTTCCAATGAGTTATGTGTTGGCCTCACAAAAAAAAGAAAAAAAATGGATAATCCCACTCGTTAATATCGTTTGGACATTCCAACGACTTTATTAATCAATGGGTTTGCTTGTAAAAGGATTTCTTTTAAATTGATTGACGACATGCAGTCAATATAAAACTTTATCAAGATTCTCCATAAATTTTAAATCCGTCCTTCAAATTGGTTGATGCAAAAATTGCTCCGTTTTCCAAATAAGTAGAAAAACATGATTTACTTCTAAATAGTTCCAGGTGGATAGATAAATTGGGATATTTAAAAATAAGTACCCAATGTTGTTTTCAAAATAACAAAAAAATTTGAGGCCACATATGAAGTCTCAAGAAGCCCTCAAAAGTTCTCCATGTACATCGCGAGTAAGAACATGGTTCGGATAGACTGGGAAGCTTTGTAGCAATTATTGCCCATTATTTTTATCTTGATGTTTCCAATGAATTACACTCAAAATAATTGTGGGTTGGATGAGTTCGAAACCGGGAAAAAGGTGACTAGCATGCAAATATGCCAAATGTTAATGAGGAAGAAGTATTTTTACGTGACCTCACCCGCATATATTATAATATATGTGACCCCTGGTCTCAACTATCATATTTGAGTAGATGTTGAGATGGTTTGAGTCTAACCGTTTGATCTTAATAGATGGTTGAGATGGCTTGAGTTTAACCGTCAGATCTTATTCGGACAGCTGATAGTTTTTTATTTTTTACTTGTATTCTACAAATAATTTTGAAGCAAAATTTGGGGCATATATAGATCTGACAGGGTGCACGTCATAAAAAAAATAAAAAATAGTAAAAAATTCATTTGATGAAAATTTACCAAAATACCCATAAAAATTATGGGGGCATATTAGTCATTTATTTTTATAGAAAATATTTGCTTTTTATTTTTTCCAGGTTCTCCCAAATTTTATAATGGGATGCCCAAAATTTCTTCCAAAAATATTTTGTAGAAAAAAATAAAAAATAAAAAAGTGTTTGGCATGACATTGTCGCATGAACAATCGTAAACGTTCGAATAAGATCAAATGACTAAGAAATGGAGTCGCATGTAACTCATATATTGTTGGGGTCACATAACAATATTGTCCATCATTAATACGCCGATTAGTAATTATAATTAATTTACTTCTAAAATATATGCATAAAAGACAATCTCTCTCTCTCATTACCCATCGTTAATACACCGATTAGTAATTATAATTAATTTACTTCTAAAATACATACATAAAAACCACTCTCTCTCTTTCATATAGCCAAACCCAATCTCTCTCTCTTATAGCTAAAACCCAATCTCTCTCAACCCCCTCCCCTACCCACAAATCTATCTTTCTGTTTACGCAGAACCAGCCCTATTACTATGCTCTCTCCACGGATCCAAATTTTATCCTTCTCCCCCGAAAGCCCTGTCTCTTTTCCCTAATTCAAGGAACCTAGCTATCTTTGTTGTGCTCTATGCTAAGCAAACCCTATGACTAGGGCTGAATTTACTCGAGTTGGATCCAAAACTCGAACTTCATATCCTATCCAGATCTGGGTATGGATTTAAGATTTTGATCCGATGTTATCCGCATCTAAAATTTAGATTCGAATAGTTATTCAAATCGGATATGAGAACATGTAGATCCCATCTGGATTCGATCCAATTATTAAAATATTATATATTATTTTATATTATATATTATATATTTTTTATAATGTATAATATATTATTTTTTATTTTATAAATATCAAATAATATATAAATAAATTTTTTGGATCCGATCAAGTCTGGATCCAAATCTATATCTCATGTACATTTTTAGAGCTGGATCCATATCTGAATATTCTGGATTCACTCGGATCCGAAGCCAAATCTAAATCCCATAAATGCTCTAGATCCAAATGCGATCCAAACCAACCCATTCCCAGCCCCTCTCTCTCTTCCATTTTCCCCTCTTCTTTCAATCCCCATCCCCCTCTATCGTATGTCTCAATCATTGCTTCTACCTCCTCTCTTAACACCCCTTAGTCTCTCTCTCTTTAGTTTAGACACTCTTTACCTTTTTCTTGTTGTAGGCTATATATTCTTATTCTCTCTCATTCATGAGAAATAAACCAAAACTATGAATTATTCTGAGAGAGAGTTGTAAGGTAAAAAAAAGAGGGGATATTTTTCTATAACCTACAATGGGTAAATCAATATGTATAGGTAGATTAAAATTTCAAACTTTAAACTTTTTATTCACATTGGTCAAATAGTGAAATGGAATAGTTGGTTGGGGTGGTTAAGGCTTATTTCACATTTGATTAAATAGTGAAATGGAATAATTAGTTGGCGATGGTTGCGGCCATAAAAGCAGAGTGGTGAGAGAGAGAGAGCATTCATTTTATTATATTTTCGAACAAAGTTTACGTAAGGTCACAATTTTATATTATAAAATTAAGATGTTTCTAAAAAATCTAGTAAAAATGTGTTTTGAAGTTGAAAAACCTTCCAATTGATCATCTCCACCTCAAAATGTATCAATATATATAAAAAAAGGGGTCTCAAGTACGAAAAAAATGTATCTTGTAATAAGTTATCTAGATGCTCTATTTTAAATATTTTTAAAATTTTATAGACATGATCAATCTGCGGTATTTTCAGAAATTTAAATATCATAATTATGGTTGAACATAGATTTTCAAGTCATCGCGAGGCTTCTAGAGCTGAAACTACAGCTTTTGACAAATTTAAAGGTACACCGGCACCTTATACAAACCTCAGCCTATATTTTAATATGATGGAATACATAAACTGCAAATATTTATATAAAGTGCACCCCAAAAACTCACTTCAAAAACTTCTTCCAATGTTGAAAAACCATCCAATTGATCATCTTGACCCAAAAAGTATTGAGATGAAAAAAGAAACTAAGTAAATACTATAAATTGTATATCTGTACAAATTTTTAAGCTTTAAATTTCATAATTCTAACTACAACTAGATTTTTATGCCATCATAAAGATTTATCACACCGTAACTATATTTTAAGCAGCGTTTAGAGGTGCGTATTGTCTAAAGTTAATATTTATATAAGGGCAAGCTTTCTATACTTCTCCTAGAGCATGAAAGTTCTATCCTCGCCCTTATCCAACTGTCCATTCTGAATGGAGGGTTAAGATTGCTCCAATCACAATGTCATGTATATACACTATTTTATTTAAATTTTTTTCTATAAATTATTTTGACACCAAATTTTGGACGTCCATTCCTCTATTAAATTTGTACTAGTGAAAAATATAAAAAAATATTTTTAGTAAAATAAAATGACTAAAATACTCCTAAAAGATTTAAGGCATATTTTGGGTATTATATTTTATCGAAAAATTATTTTTAATATTTTTTATAGGTGCGCCCAATGAGAAGATGACACGTACCAAATTTTATATTCATACAATTTGTATAAAAAAACTAAAAATAAACTACTTTGAGACGTCGGATTTCAGATCAAACAGTGAGTGACTCTCTTGATCAAAATTGGACGGCTGGATGGTAGGAGGAGGATAGAACTTCTATGTTGTAGGGGAAGCATAGAAACCTTTCCCTTTATATAAATGCACCCCAAACTAACATGTGTAGTTTCCATCATGCCTAGGCCTTATGAAAAGAAAGTAAATCCTCACTTTGAAATGTCATTCAAAAAATATTTTGGGCATAGAAAATCTCTTGTCCATCATAGATTATAAAATTTGTAGCTCAAAAAATGGTACCGATCTTGTGAATCCACGAATAATTGAAACTAAACCGTCTAGATCATATATCATATTACAATGGGGTATACACTATTTTCAAAGGCTTAAAATCCTAATTTTTTTACAACCATAATGTTCAAGATCGAGATGATCGATTTAAAAGCTTTACAATGCTGGAATTGCAATTTTTAGTAAATTTTGAGGCGAGGCTTTACTTTTTCCCCAAAGCCTTATTTTGCCTATTCCTAAGTAAGGATACATAATATGTATGGTACATAAAGCTAAAGGTCATAGTTTCCATAAGGTTTAGGCTTTATAAAACAAAGCAAAGGTCTATTTCGAATCCTCGTCTGGAATGTACCTTGGCCATTAAAAATCTTCATGATGGTTCTAAAATTAATTTTGCAACACCAGCTATGAAATTTGAGTATTAAGAAATGGTACAAATCTTGCCAATCGTTAAACACTTATTTTTAGGCCGAAATGGACAGTCTAGATGATGCTTTACAGTATGCACTATTTTCAAATCCTAATCTTTTTTTCACAATTATAATGACCAAGGCAGAGATAGTGGATTTTGAAGAATTTCCGACATAGAAGTATAATTTTTATGAGTTTTAAGATGAGGCTTTACTTATTTTGATAAGGTTGCAGACCTATCAAACTATTTTCCAAACATAAATAATTATTAAAGGATGAGGTTTTTATAAGGCCTAGGCTAATAAAGCCTCATATGCAATCTTCGTCCTTTCAGCAACAAAAATATCCATGATGGCTCTAAAATCAATTTTCAACACCGACAATGAAATCCAAAACTCAAAAAAGATCTTGCGGATCTCTGAACACTGATGTTTAGGGTGAAATCATCATCATGATGGGCTTTGGGAAAAAAATTATGTTGGCTGCCTATTTAACATAACCATGCCCTTTTACCCAGCATGTTCCTAACACAACCATGCCCTTTTACCCAGGTATAGGATGGGTTAAGGGAAAGTTTAAGGTCAACATCCTTCTTAAACCAATTTTTAGGGCGAAATAGATTATCTAAATAATTTATTATAAAACTTGCTATTTTGAAGCTTGAAATTCTATTTTTTTTCACAACTATAATGTTCAAGTCAAGATGATTGATGTAAGGGAAAAGTTTATATAGAGCCGAGGTTCTAAACAGTCAAATTAGAGCCCACCACAAAAATTTTACTAGAAGATGATGTTTTGATACCCAAATATATCATCAAGTTGATCATCTCGACATCAAGATGCATGGACACGAGAAAAAAATGGATTTCAAGTTTTGGAAATAGTATATCTTGTAACGCATTTTTTGACCATCAATTTTCAAGATTTTCAAGTGTTCATAAATTTACGCGATCTACACTATTGTTAAAGCTTTAAATTTTATAATTAAATATAAAAATATGTTTTAAGGCTATCACAAATATTTTCAATATTAAAACCACATTTTTTTATACTATTTGAAGGTGAGATCTAATTTGATCGTTCAGAGGCTCTATGCAAACCGCAACCTTGATTTAGAGGTTTTTTAATGCTTGCTTTACTTGTTTTGATAAGGCTCCAGCACAGTCAAACCATTTTCTTTCATTATATTATATATAATATTATTATATATAGTTGGATAAGATCGACCACTACCTAACCCAGCCCCATGTCAAGTCCCGATTCTTGGAGTGACTCACTGGCTCCAAAAATTGGACGTGAACCAGGGCCTAGATCTGCTGATCGACCTAACCAGATTAGCACCTCAGCCATCGCCGGCTCCCTATGTTGGTTGGGAGAGAAAAAGAGAGAGCCAAATTTAGTTGCAAGTAGTACCTGAAGATGGAGATTGTAGCACACTCTGTTCCCACAAATGGCAGACGTGGAACCACTTGTTACATGCAAGCCTTCTCCTTCCAACCTTGCAACAAGAGTTGAGAACGGAAGGCTATAAGCTTTGGAAAGGCATATTTGGGTTGTGATCTCCAGTTGATCAACTCTGATGACAGTGACTGTAGGGAGACAAGAAGTGAGAGGATGAGTTCTTTCGTGGTGCGTTGAAACGCTTGCATGGAGTTTTTCTCTCCTTTTCAAAAGATCATCAACCTCTCTCTGGAGCTCTGGTATGTAATCTACGGCTTTTGATACTGTGGTGGGTATACTCCATTTTCTCTGCAACATCAGTAAGAAACAGAGCACTAGAAAAGCAACAAGAGGGGAGAGAGATAAAGGTGTCAATGGGTTGGGTGGGCCGGCCCGGACACTGTCTTTAAAAAATTAGGCCCTAGACCCAAAAAAAATGTGCCCGGCCTCTTTTGTTTTTTCTTTTGTTGAATATCTCTTTTACTTTATTTTCCTTTTCCTCATTAGAATGGGGTGGGGCTAGGGGTAGAACTGGCCACCCCATTGCCATCTTTAGAACGCAGTGTTTAAAAAATCGAACCGACCTTGGATGCTGGCCAATGCCCGGTTTTGAGTAATCGTTATACCGGCCAGTTCAACCGGCTTAACTGACAAATCCCGACTGGTTTAAAAAGCATTAAAAATACAAAAAATTCAAAAAAAAAAAGAGAAAATTTTTATATAAAGAATGATTAAACAAACACATCCAAATAAAATTGAAAATTAGTAAAATAAAAATAAAAAATAGATTTAAAAAAATCAATTTGTGTCCAGAAGCATTTTCAAAATTTTCAAAAAAAAGATGAAAAAATATAGAAGCCATTTTGTGGCAAATGATAAAAAATATTTAAAAATACATTACAAACAAATTTTTTATTTTTTAGGATTTTACATAAATTGTTTCGAATGCTTTTGAAAATACCCAACCTGACTATAAAATCCGTCAAAACTGGATCTGCGAGTGCCGATTTCGATTTGAACAGCCGATTCTAAGTTTGACTGACCGAGGTTACTAGGACTAGTAGAGAGATGCTGCAGACCTTAGAGATGGAAGAATCCGGCAACAAGAATCGGAGGTTGGAGAAGGCGGTGTTGAGCCTCTTCCTCCTCTCCCTCTCATTCGCGTTGTGACTCTGCTTCTTGTTCAAATCCACACCTATCACCCCTCCCTGCCACCCGTTATCATAATCCAGCGGTCCACATAGCGTGTCCTCTCTCGCCCTTAAAAAACCATCGTCCTCGCACCCGATCTTCAAAGCCCAATCCGATGGCAAAGCAACCATCTTTTCTTTCTTAACGACCCATGTCCCGTGCTACATACACAGAGTCCTTTGATTTTATGCTTCTATTAAATAATAGGTTGTCTATTTGTCAATACAATATAAATATAAGACACTTATTTTATGTTACTATTAAATGCATAGAATTTTATTTGCCGTTGATGTCTCAATCACAAATGATGTTATCTTCTGTTATTATTATTTGGGTAGGTATTTTTTGCTGTATTTTTTTAGTGGGATCGGATTTGTTAGATCTAATGATATCCTTAACTTTTGATTCAATGGCATTCTAGCTTACGTTTCTTTTTACTTTTTTTTCCGTTTTTTTATTTTTTTATTTTTGACCTTTTCATCCCCTTATGTTGCTTAAGATGAATTTATTTCTTAAAAGCAATTATTACACCATTTACCTTTGTATAAATGATCTTACTTACTTTTGTATAAATGATCGTACTCATCATCATCATCGTCAAAATCTTTCCTCAATTAATTAATATCGACTAATAAATGATCTTATTATATACTTTTTGTATATAAAAAAAATCCCTCCTAATCATTAGACGTGAAAAATCTATGGAATAGTTTATCTTTAATCTAAATTAAAAAGATCAGAACTACCCATAATTATCGTATTTGAAATCAAGTGGCGAGGAGTCATATTTTATTGTCTAAGATAGACATTTGTCCGCTTTACACTAAGAAATAAGAGTCTTTTTCTAAATATATCATTTACCTTTCATACATAAAGGTCTAAGACATTCTCAAGCATTAGATGTCAATTGGATGGCTTAGAGTGAGTCACCAAATCCGAGAATTTGGTTTTTGGAACTTTGTGTGTCTATTCAATGACATTCTTACGATCACCCATTTGAAATGAATAATTGTTTCATGCGAGCTAGACCGCATTTCTAAATATGCGGTCCAGAAGTATAAAGCATCAATCTTAAAGAAAGATGCAAATACGTGGTCCATCTAAAAATAGTTGTAACTAATGGTCCAAATGTTTTATTAATATTATGATTATTTCTAGTTTTCAATTTTATTATTTTTCATATTCATGATTTCCATGTTAAAGGTTATATATTCTTTAAAAATTAGGATCAAATTGTATTTTAAATATATATTTATTGCCAAACCCGCATTTCTACACTATGCGGGCTAAGCCGCATGCTAACCGCGTCCTCATGAAATTTAAGGGATATTGAATGATTTTGACCACTATATACAAAAGATAAATGATCTCTTTGTAGACAATCCAAAAATAACAAACTCTAGTCATCCCACTTTAGATTTGATTATTTGATGGCTTGGGATGTTTGTGATATTCCGTTCAATACAGTCTCCATTTTAAGTGGTCATCATTTTTGACAGGAGAATATTTCACATTTCTGGCTTATGGTAGATATATGGTTCATTGCAAGGGCATATACTATTGAGGAAATTTTCTTTATGCGGGGCGCTGTTCGAATTCGTGGGAGCATAGAATGGAAATGAAGATAGAAAAAGAAGAGAGAACACAACATTTACGTAGTTCAAGCCAAAACTTTACGTCCACAGATCCAAAGCCCTAACCAGCTATATCTTCATTACTTTGGATGAATATTTATATCAATGAGTACCTCTATATATGGTGGACAAGCACACAATTAGAGGAGATAAATATAATATAATAACTTGATGACCAAGTAACTTGGTCTCTATCTTCTAGATACCTGATCTTATCAACCCATACATCCATAATGATGTATATCAATATGAATCCTAGATATCCATTACCCCAACACTCTCCCTCAAACTTAATATGCTTTGACACAAAGCAGCTGGAAAACAATACTAAGTTGTCAAGCAAAGCGACAGTACTAAGTTGTTAAATAAAACGAGTAGTGATCAAGTCCATGATAGATTTCACAAGTTACTATGATCTGCCAAGAAACAACATTTCTTAGGTAAGCTCTCTACTTTCTTCTAGAAACTTTCTCTCTCTAAGGTCTTCCAAGAAACAACATTTATTGAGCTCTCCACTTTCTTCTAGAAACTTTCTCTCTCTATGGTTTTTTTCTTTGAAGATCTTCTATCTCAGATGCTTCTTTCTTTTTAGATGCTTTCTCTCTCTAAAAAAAATGATCTTTCTTTTTCTCTTCTTCGGAACATTTGGGATCGAGTAACAAAAAACTCAACAATCATCACACATAATGGAGCAACGAAAAACTTCATCATCAAACAGAATTGAGTAATGAAAAACTCAATCATCGTTCAATAAGATTGAGTAACAGAACACTCAATCATTGAAAAATAGGTATCTAAAGCAGACAGGATCGAGTACACTCATCATCACACAGGATGGAGTAACGAAAAACTCCATCATCAAATGAGATCACGTAACGAAAAACATGATCATCAACCAGAATCGAGAAATTCAATCATCAATCTGGATCATGTAACGAAAAACTTAATCATCAAACAGGATCACGTAACGAAAAACATGACTATCAACCAAGACAATTCAATCATCTTAGGTCTCTCTCTTCATAGTTTCGATAATTCAATCATCTTAGGTCTCTCTCTACATAGTTTCGATCCTCTTATTCGAACCCTTGCAGCACACGCCAGCGGTGCACTGACTGTTCGATGCCTCACGACAAAATTGGTGCCTCACGATCCAATAATAGTTTCCTTATAAAATCCTTTTGCAATACCTATTTTAAGAGAAATTGTGTCCCCCAAATTGCAAAAACCATTTGCACCATACAAGAGAAAACGTGGACTCAAAATTGCAAAAACCTTTTGCACCATTCAAGAGAAATCATGTGCATCAGTTTGCAAAACCTCCATGGGCAAAAACAAAACTCACGGCAAAAGAAAAAACTCACGGAACATGTACCGTGGTCTTGTACTGTGACCTTGATGCAACCGGATTTGTTACCTGTTGTACTTTAAGTTTCGAAAGGGTCTTTTAAAAAAAATGAACGTAACAATGGCCACAGAGCCCTTGGCTTCAACTCGTTGACGAATCCATTGACATGGATTACTATCTAGAGAGATGAAGCAACCCTTGTTGAGCAATAAATCGCTACTGATAGATTGGCATGGCTCTGATACCTTGCTCTGATACCATGTTAGAATTCGTGAGAGCATAGAATGTAAATGAAGAGAGAAGAAGAAGAGAGAAAACAACATTTACGTGGATCAAGTCAAAGCCTTACATCCACGAATCCAAAGCCCCAACCGACTATATTTTCACTATTTTGGATGAATGTTTACATCAATGAGTACCTCTCTATATAGAAGACAATCACACAATTAGAGGAGATAAATATAGTATGATAACTTGATGACCAAGTAACTTGGTCTCTATCTTCTAGATACTTAACCTTATCAAGAGATATATACCCATACATCTATACTGATGTATATTAATATGAATCCTAGATATTCATTATCTCAACACGCGCCACAGGAAAGGTCCAAGACTATTGTTTTTGAATTGTTTAATTAAGATTAGATGGTTGAGAATGTACCGACTATTTAAGTTTTATTAGTTTTTCTATATGCCGGATTGAACACAGTCTTTTTTATACCGTACTATAAAAAACATAAAACAAATAATTTGAATTTAGAAAACATTTCGTTTACCATTCACTTCATAATGTAATTCCATCTTTTGTTAACACTAAAACCAGGCTCTAGAGAGATCCCAAGACCTATCGCTAATGCAACATTACCTCTACCATCAAGAGTGCCCATCTTTTTATGCACATGTTGGTGTACATTTAAGTGTCGTTTAAGTAAAATTCAATGACATCACCAGACAATGTACGGTCACGTGTCAGTGCGTCTCTAGCCGGTCGACACATGATACCCAGGCCCATGTGAAGGTACGGGGTAATGCTGACTTTAGCAGGGAGAAAATTTATTTAAGAATTTGCATCATTTTATTTAAGGATTTGCATCATACAATGATGCGACATGTGTTCCAATGATCAGATGATAATGGATCTTATGCTTGAGGCACAAGCATCAACCAATGGAATGACCATCTATAGAAGGCTAGCAACAATTCCTTCTTCCAAGATCATCTCCAAGAGGAAGTATGCATGATGTAACTTCCACTGTTCTGGTCCATCTTCCTCATCGATATACTTCATGAAGGCATTAAATAGCCTCCTAGAAGACCTGGAAAATTTCATGCCACGGTTACATTTTAAAACTTTTGAACAAAGAGCAGCTGATCCCATCTCTCAGTTTCTCTACAGCCACAAAGCATTCTTAATTCTCATCAAGAACATAGATAATTTTAGTCATTTAAATGATTATTAAATCATAAATCTTTTGAAAGACATACATTACTAGCAATTTTGTAGAACTTCAAAATTTTAGATCACCAATAGAGAAAGTCTTTTCACAAAGTGTGGCAAGAACTGATCATTATATCAGTCGACGCCATGCTCACCTTAATATCAACCATTCACCTAAAGTGGAAGAGTAATTTCAAGATAATGCCCATCACCAACTCATACACAGTATTGACTCCATCAAGATGACAAGACCCAATGCCAAACATTCCATTTGATATAAATTTTCAAATCATTAGATCACTAGAAATACTCGGACATATTAATCACCATGAACTCTTGCAATCCTCATCAGGCCCTTGATTCTTACAGGCTATGCTGACACAACTAAGCTCAATGCGCAATTTATCGTGGGTTTATCCATGGTTATCATGTTTACAGTACTCCCTAATCTGCAGCAAGAACAAGAAATAAAGTCTTTAAGAATGATGAGAATAAAGTAGTTTCCTATTCCGAAATGTGCTATTTGAGGGGATTCACTACTATACATGAACTTGGGACCTTGCATTGTCCACCCCAACCTGTTATTTGGTGCTGAAAATCAGATCCATTCAGATTGCGGCCCCTCCCATTTTTCACCAAAATCATACCCAATTAAAGGATATATGAAGAATAATAAGGAATGATAGCCCACGTAGTATCATCACTAATCTCCACATCACCTTTCATGTAGGACTACCGCTCTATAAACGCAGACTATAGA